CCATTCTCGTCACCATTGAAATTCTCCGTTCTCGTCTGCTAGTTAGAGAGTTGTACCTGAAGAGAGGGAGTGCCTTGTAATCTGGTATCTTCCACTCTACCTTCATGACTCTGCTAGGATCTTGACCTGTAAGGAAGTCCGGCCTTGTGATGATATTGTCCTCAACTTCTCAGACATTCTCAGCCACTGACACCCCCCCGCCCCCATGTTCAGGTATCCATCCAAAAGTGGGTTGCATGTTTTAGGGGCCCTTTATTTGATCTGCCCTAATGAAGGTATTGGCTGTCTGCAGTTTTATCCATGGGCAACTTTGTTAGTGTACAAACTATTCAGGGCAAGACAGTCAGAGATACAAAATTGTGGAAATTGACACTTTGATGGCTCCTGATAAAGGTGCTCTCGACTTGCAGATTTTGTCCACCTGCCTTCCCTTGTAGACCAAACCTGCTTCCGTTTTTGTTTAAGAACTTCACAAGCAAAGCAGATGCATGCAATCTAATAGTTATGCCAAAAAAGTAAAAGAAGGCAAAGAGGTGTTTTTTTTTTCCTAAGGGGGACAAATCAAAGGAGAGAACCTTTGTGTTGTTTTTTTAATAATGTTGTGGTTTTGGTTTGTTTAAGGTTGTGACATCTTCAGTAGTTTTCCCTGAATTGCCTATAGTCTGCTGGGAAGGAAAAGTGATCTTGCCGCCATGTTTGAACCTGCCTTGAACTATATTCCAAACAAGGAAGAGGAAGATTCTGGCTTTCAAGCAGGAAGAAGTCCCAACATTGTCCCTCTTGAGAGGACTGGGGAATTGTTTAAGGGCACCGTGCAGCAATTCCAGGGCGAGTCCCCTCATGGCTCAGACAGACAGCGCCAGAGTTTTAGGAAGTTCTGCTACAAAGAGGCCAAGGGGGCCCGAGAGGCTTGCTCCCGACTCCATGATCTTTGCTGTCAGTGGCTGAAACCAGAAAAGCACACAAAGGCTCAGATCCTGGACCTGGTGATCCTGGAGCAGTTCCTAACCATTCTTCCCCCGGAGATGGAAAGCTGGGTGAGGGAATGTGGAGCGGAGACCAGTTCTCAGGCTGTAGCCGTGGCGGAAGGCTTCCTCCTGAGTCAAGCAGAAGAAAGCAAGGACCAAGTGAGTGCATGATCTTGATAGCTTCAGAGTGTGAAAAATATTTTTTTTTCAAGGATTTTATAAAACTCAGCATATGCCTACTTTTTCTTTAAAATCATCTGGAGTAGAAATGATCTGTTTGGACTCATAGTTCCCAAGAGAGCTTTTGTGGGACCTTACGACTGCTTAGAAGATTGTCAGAGGTTCCTCAGAAAATTGTGGAAAGATTAATGAAACTTTGAAATGCCGCAAAATTCCAAATAACTCTTAATAGCAAATGCATGTTTGTTTAGCCAGATTCAACAATGGAATGGTCTCCACAGGTTAATAACTGACTGTATCTTTTGCTCTAATCAATACGCTTTTAAGTTGAATGTAGTTCCTTACACCTGTGTTCGTTTGTTTTTAATTTTACACACAAGCATCTCATTAGGGGGAAACAGAAATAGGAATATGTATTCTCGAAGGCTTTCACTGCTGGGATCTAATGGTTGTGGTGCGTTTTTTGGGCTCTTTGGCCGTGTTCTGCAGAATACTGTCCTCTGAAGATGCCGGCCACAGAGACTGGCGAAATGTTAAGAAGAACAATCTTCAGAACACGGCCAAAGAGCCCAAAAAACCCACAACAGCCAGAATAGGAATGCTGTGCCACAGCACCCATAGCAACCACTTTGAGAGCAGTATCAGTGCTGGGATTAACTGTTTCCAATTGATTGTCATGCAAACTTCCCTGTGATTCTATTATTTCTCCAACTTCTTGAGAACATTCTTGTTCTCAGTTTAAAGCATGGCCCCTGGCTGTTGATAACAGGCGTGAGTAGATATACTCACAATGACATGATTTATTCACAGAAGTCTGGATAAGGAAATCTTCAGGGTATGAAAAACTCATATTAAGGGTTCTTTTTAAGGAAAAGTGTTTGAGGGACACTAATCACAACTGCGTTTTGCCTCAGACCTTCTGCTGCTCTGTTCCTTTTCTAATTCGCCCTCTCTCTTTTTCGATCCCTGATTCTCATTCCCTTTGTTGGTACAGGACTTGTATGCCGAGCGGACGCCTGAGGCAGAGAAGATTCTTTTGGACTCTGGTCGAAAGGCACAGTCCACATGGATCACACAAAATGGGGAGAGAAGGCCCACTTCAATGGGTGAGGATCACGAGGGCTTTTCCCCACTTGGGCTGCTCCTCTTGCCTGAAGGTTAAACAGTTTTCATGTCTTCTTAGATGCACTTTGAAAGTTAGAGGTGTGGTCCTTAGATGTTTGGAGGTCGCTCATCCCTCCAGAGCGCGCCTCTTCTGTGGTTGGTATCCGGCCCCATGAACCAACCCCAGAACCCAGTGAATTCCCAGTGAATTCCCAATGAAAAGGTCCCTTTCCCAATGAAACCCAGTCATTCCTTGAGCAAGGAAGATCCCAGAGCCCGGAGGTTACCTCCAACAACTCCTCATTCCCCCATTAATGCACGGGTTACAAGACTAATGAAATCTTTAGTCTATTTGGGTCTTAGTCACAAGCTGCTGATGCAGCTGATTATCCCACAGCTCTTCAACAAAGCGCTTCAAGCCACTCTGTCAGCTGTTTCTATTTTCTTTCCTTTTGTTTTCCCCTCAGTATATATTTTAAACAAAATGACTTTGTACCACAGCCAGGTTTCAGATTACTCGAGTCTGCTCATCTCTATTTTTGTTCTAATGACTATATTTCACCCCTGAGGTTTTTTTTAATTCAATAGTGGTGAATGATTTATTTTTGCCTGTTGTGTTTCTTGCAGGTGACGGAAGGTGGACATTGGAAATGTGTGCAAGCTCCTCTCTTCATTCGGAAGCCCTGGAAACAGCTTCCAGGAATCTGGAAGAGGTGAAGGGATGAATGATTAACGATAAAAGGGAGACAGGCTGGGTGTCCCGTCTCTCACCGCCCATGCCACGTCCTCATGCCTCTGGCTTTTCCTTTGGACTGCTGGTGCCCATTGGAAAAATCCCTGCAAAAAAATTGATATCCAGCCTGGTAGTTCTGAGCTACGTAGCCTTCGTTTCTGGTTGGAGTTAGCCTTGTGTTGACGCTGCAATGTCTCTTCTTTCAGGTGGCCTTCGAGGAGGTGGCTGTCTCCTTCACGGAAGAGGAATGGGCCCTGCTGGATCCGGACCAAAGGTCCCTGCACACGGAAGTCATGGAGGAGAATTTGGGGACAGTGGCCTCTCTGGGTAAGCCTCCCCGTTTCTCACCGTGAATGAAATCAGTTCACATTCTGTAGAATAAAATGAAAGTATAGTCTCTTCCTGTCCCCTTGGTAGACTTAAGTCGGCTGCTTTATCTTTTGTCCGTCCTGGCTGGTTTTTGGGGTCTCTTCACAGGATGACCATCTGTGGTTGACCTTCGTCAAGGTGACAGTGGCTGGTGTCAAGTTTAGAGGCTGACCCATAGTGGGGAGGAGTGGGGCCCCACCCTGTCCTCAACACAGGAGGGATCCCCAGCTGTATCCTTCCTCTCCCCCCCCCCAAGAGGGTCTGCTTTGCTTCCACCTAAGCCCTGGTGGCTGCTTCCAGTTGCCATCAAACATGAAAGATGGAAAGCTGCCACGACAAGGCCAAGATGGGTCACAATTCCTCCTCTGTAAAGCAGTTCCCTTCCTTTTGCTTTCCCATTCCCACAGGATGACAAGAACTCCTGCTGTTCCTCCTGAATCACTTGTAGATGCAGAAAGGAGAGGGAAAGAGAGGCTTTCGAAGAAATGGCTATCATCATTCTTCCCGCCTTTCCCAAAAAGAGGGAGAAAAGCAGAGTGACAAGGCAAGGGAATAGGGAACATGAATGGAGGACTGCTGCTTCTCCTCCTATCTTGATGACAGAAATACCAGGGCTCCCCTTCCAGCTTTAAAGTTTACTCTAGAGCTAACGGTCTCCAAACTATAGCCAAGGGGGCACATCTGGCCTGCCTTGCCTTGTTATCCAGCCCGGTGAATGATGCAGACTCAGGTCCGCAGGTTCAGGTCCGTTTCCTTTAGCCCATGTGTGTATGCATGTGTTCCTTGGACCCTTGAAAATTTGTAAAATATATGATCTGACCCTCCTGCTGAAAAGTTTGGAGACCCCTGCTCTAGAGCCTTAAGCCCATGAGTATTCAAATCTTAAACCACTGTTCTTCAAAGAATTTCAGAGTTGGGAGCTTATCCCCAGTCTCCAGATATCCTTTTTAATGCCTCCCAGCCTTTTTTTTTGGCCAGTGCTTGAACCCTGATGAGTTCTGAGTTTTTTCTATGTAAAGGTGCAGGTATTCCTTCATTTATTTCAGGGAGAATTAACTAGCTATGTTTGATCTTTTACCTCCGTCTCCACTTCTCTCTTCAACCCTGACTAAATGTTTTTCTCTCCTTCTCTTTTCTAGAAAATGCTGGGCAAGAAAGTGTGGATGAAGGGTGTTTAGAGTGTGGAGAAATCTACCCTCACAGGATGCATCTCACTCATTATCCAGCAACACACACAGGGGAAGAACCATTTGAAAGCTTAAAATGTGAGGAAGATTTCAGTTGGAAAATTCAGTTCCCTTGTCATGAAGCAATTCACACAGGGGATAAAGGCTTGACATGCTGGGAATGTGGAAAAACTTTCAGTCAGAAGGCACACCTCGTTTGTCATCAAGTAACTCACACAGAGGAGAAACTATTCAGATCCTTGGGATGTGGAAATATTTTCAGTCAGATGTCAAATATGAGTACATATATGTTTGAAAATGCCATGTGGGAACAGAAGGAAGAACAGCAGACAAAAACTGAGGTGGAAGAGGATACGAGGCAGCAGCCATCTGTTTCTCAAGACGGTGTGATTTTTGAGGTCCCAACTCCAGAAATGATCTACGAAGCCAAGGAGTTGAGCATGTGCTTTGTGTGTGGGGAAATCTTCAACTGTAATGCAAGCCTTGCTCTCCATGAAAGAATACACACAGAGGGGAAAAATTTTGAATGCGGCGAATGTGGAAAAACCTTCAGGTTGAAGAAATGCCTGATTTCTCATCAAAGAATTCATACTGGGGAGAAGCCGTTTCAGTGCTTTGATTGTGGGAAGAGCTTCATTCGTTCCTCACATCTTACGAGCCACCAAAGAATCCACACGGGGGAGAAACCCTTTCCGTGCCTAGAGTGCGGGAAAAGGTTTGCCCGGCATGATTATCTCACTCTCCATAAAAAAGCGCACACAAGCGAGCAACCATTCAAATCTGTGGAATGTACGAAGGGATTCGATGAGATGATGCACTTGATTTACCGTCAAGCAGCTCAAACCAGGCAGGACTCCTTTACTTGCTTGGACTGTGGGAAGCGCTTCAATTGGAGGTCACAACTGATAGCACACCAAAGAATTCATACGGGAGAGAAGCCATTTAAGTGTTCAGAGTGTGGAAAGAGCTTCAGTCAGAGCTCATACCTGATGATGCATAAAAGAATTCATCGAGGGGAAAAGCCGTTCAAGTGCTTAGAATGCGGGAAAGGCTTCTATTACAGCTCAAAACTAATGTACCACCAAAGAACCCACACCGGTCTGAAACCGTTTCCATGCTTGGAGTGTGGAAAGAGCTTTAGTCAAAACTCAACTCTTACGTCACACCAAAGAATCCACACTGGCGAGAAGCCGTATTCGTGCCTGGAGTGTGGAAAGAGCTTCACCATGAAAAAAGGTCTGATATGCCATCAAAGAAGCCACACTGAGGAGAAACCATACAGTTGCTTGGTATGTGGAAAGAGTTTCCGTCAGAAGGCACACCTGAAGTCCCACCAAATCGTTCATATGGAGGAGACACCGTATAAATGCCTGGAGTGTGGTAAAAGCTTCAGTCGGAGCTCCATCCTCACTAGACACCAAGTTGTTCACAGAGGCGAACAGATATACAAATGCCAAGAGTGCGAGAAATGTTTTACCAAGAAGAGAAGCCTAACAATGCATCGAAGGAAACACTCGGCTTGCGGAAGTAGCTTTGGTCCAAGTTCACACCCAGTAACTCGTACAGGAGAGAAATCATTTCAGTGTTTGGAATGTGGGAAAAATTTCAGTCGGAAGATCCACCTCACTAACCATCAAGCGGTGCACACGGGAGAAAGACCATTTCAGTGCCCCGAGTGTGGGAAAAGCTTCAGTCGGTCCTCACAACTGATAACTCACAGGCGAATTCACACTGGGGAGAAGCCGTATCAATGCTTGGAGTGCGGAAAGAGTTTTAGTCATCCCTCACACTTTAGGAGCCACCAAAGAATCCACACAGGGGAGAAACCATTTTCATGCTTGGTGTGTGGAAAAAGTTTTGCTCGGAAGGATTATCTTACTTTGCATCAAAGAATCCACACAGGGGAGAAACCATTTCGGTGCATGGAGTGCGGAAACAGATTTATTAGGAAAGAGAACCTTATTTCCCATCAAATGATGCATAAGATGGTGGGAGAGATTGTTTAAAAGTGTGAAATGAGAGCAGAGTTTCACAGAGGGCTGAGCTGATGTCCAGGAATTCACACGAGTTAGGATACCCATCTAACTAATAAGAATGAGTTTTTTGTCAGTAAGAAAATTGGAAGAGATTTTTTTAAACTGAGAATTCATTCTTGCTTTACAGAAAATGTTCAGATTGTTCACCTCTTAAAATGACACTAGCTTCTGAGAAATGGCTAGTCAGGTGGAGCTGAAAATAATTTGATAGTAGATAACATTTTCGATTTGGAAGCAGCTCAGAATTAATGTGTATATTGAATGGAAGCAAACAAGTTCACAAATCATTTTGAGGTAATATATATCAGCTGGAATCCTACTGGTGTTCATGTAACTTTTATGTAGCTTGTTGTCGCTAATCAGCAAGGTGCAGGACTGTGTCAGTCAAATACGTGGTCAAAAGTTCTGACACTTTGTGAATTAGCAGCAATTAGCTGTGGTAAATTAAGCATGGGAACACCGATAGGATTCTAGACAGTAACAGCTGACAGTAACAGCTGTCAGTAATTGGTTGGCAATATGGTCTGTGTAATTTCTGAGGAAAAAGCCGTCTGTAGTTATGCCTGCAGAAGACAGGCAGATGACGTGGCTTTCAGTGGTTTCTGGCAATTAATGAGTCTCCACTTGGATTTTTGAGCATGCGGCAACCCACTAGACTGGCACATGCCCAGAAGTCCAAGCAGTGATGTGTCAATTGCTGTTGAGACAATATAGCATGCAGCAACCCACCAGACTGGCACATGCCCAGAAGTCCAGGCGGTGATGTGTCAATTGCTGTTGAGACAATATCATTTGCATTCTGTAGGCGTAACCACACAACAGGATTCGGGTGTCAAGATTTATCCAGAGATGTTTGAATATAGAACTTCATTCTATCACAAAGGGGAAATTTTGCTTAAAATTGAGAGTCAATAATGAGTGCGTAAAAATGTTGAATAGTGTATAAAAGTCACTTCATATTTAGCCGTCTGGAAGACTTTTCATATTTAGGTTTCAGTAACACATTTAGAGTTGTTTTCTCAGATACATGATTCGTCATTGTCTCTCGACTGCCTTTTTCCTTTCATTGACCCACCTGTAAAGGCAATATTTTTTCCCTGTTGCCCATCTAATCTGGTGCATTTCCTCTCTCCGATTGCGGTAAATTCTCATTTTCCTCCCTTGCCCATCCAGAAGAGTATGACTTCAAACTAACCCAAGCAAGGGAAAGTTGGGGGGGGAAATCCTAATCACCCTCTCAGGGGACAAAGTACATAAATGAAAGAGACCTGAGTTCTTATGGCCAAACAAACATGGAAAAACGACAGAGAATCCATGTGAAGGAGTGAGGATACAGACCCTGAGAAAAATCACTGGGAGTGGGCCAGAAAGAAGTGATCGTGATTGAATACATCATCTCATGCATCAGAATAATGTTGTGTGTCTTGAATAAACTGTACATGATCTCTCAGTAATTTGCCGTCGGTTCCCTGGGATTTCCAGCTGTCGCAAGCCGAGCAACAGTAACAAAAATGGCTGCCGCTCTCGGGTTCTAAATTAAGCTGCTGAGACAGGAAAGAAAATGACTTTAAAAATAGGCGCATAATCACCCCTCTCATACCAACCCTGCACATAAAAAAGGCCTCTCACAAATTTGATGTACCCATATATGCAGTCTGACATCCGTATAAGGTGATAACGTTTGTTCAGTTCGATAGTATTTTGAAACAGGTGTATTAGGTGATGTAACGGGGTAACAGTTTTGTAAACTGCTACTTGTTCTGTTTGCCTGCCGATGCCTTTTGTCAATGTTACAAAGCTTTGGACGACCTCCCTCACTCATGTTTCCCAGGCTTCTCGCCTTTCCCTCGCTTGAAGGAAGACTTAAAGAGGGCACAACTCAGTTTTCAGGCAACATCAGGATGTTATGCAGTCAGTTTTCTGAATGTATGTGACCTGTGCCATTCCCTCTTGGATTGTTCATTACCTGAGTGAATAAATGTGATTGCCACCCTCCTTTTCCTGTTTCACTTGGTCCCCGACCCCTGCAACTACGCTAAGCATTAATAAACCTGTGGCCTCAATCTTGTACTCTGTGCATCTGAGCAAATACGTTTCTTACTCGTTAATGTGTCTTTGTTTTGTTTTTGTAATAATTAGAGGAGGATTTCAGCACAGAATCATCGTAGGGTTGGAAGGGACCGCGAAGGTCTTCTAGTCCAACCCCCTGCCCAAGGCAGGAGACCTCATCCAATCCCGGACAGATGGCTGTCCAATCTTTTCTTGAAAACCTCCAGTAATGGGGCATCCACAATATCAGGAGGCAAGCTGTTCTATCACATGTCACATTTTTTTTCTGCAGCCAGATTACTCATAAACACATTTAAACTTGCTTGGGGGTCCAGGTGTCAGTTGCAGAGAAAATGTGAAATGTCATAGACATCCACCCCCTATAACCATGTGCCATCAAGTCAGTTCTGACATATGGCAACCCTTTTTAGGGTTTTCCAAGTAGAGAATATTCGGAAGTGGTTTCTTGTGCAGATGCCCTGGGACTCTGCAGCTTGCCCAAGGCCACACAGGCTGGCTCTACTTGTAGGAGACCCAGTGGGCAATCAAACTCCCGATCTCTGGCTCCACAGCGATACCTAAGCCACTGAGCTAGCCAGCCATGACTTTAACAAAATGTCCCGGTTTATGAACTGCATTCTTCATTCCATGATCTCTGTACTGTCTGAAATCTGCCATGGTGGAATCCCTATGAAACCTATTGACCAGAAATAAAGATGAAATACCCGTTCACCGGGGTTTGAATAGATAGACTTGCCACGGCCCCATGAAATCTGTCATCTCCCTCTCATCGAGGAAGAAGAGGACAGAGTTCTTATACCTTTATGTGTGTAGGCGTCCTTCAGTCTCAAGAGACTATGGTGATGTGCTCTGAAAAGAGGTCTTGGAACAGTGTCTAGTGTGGCTGAGAAGGCCAATTCCAGAGTGACAATCCCTTCCACGCTGAAGACAAATACAATCTGTCCCCTGTCCAGCTCTGGCTACACCTGCTAAATTTCTTCCATGCAATTATATAAGGTACAGATGGAAAACTTGTCCTCTTTTCCACTAGTCAACTTGTTGCCATCTTGCAAGGCAGCCTTGGAGCAGGAGAAAGGGTCAAAATAGAGAAATCTGAAAGTCTTCCTGCTATCCAGAAAGTAGAGAATCAAATGGTCTTTCACAGGGATTTTAGAAATGCCTTTTTAAAAAATTAAACCTGAGAATCTGGGAGAGCTGAATGACCCGATAAACATCAAGCGCCATGTCTAGATTCTGGATGAAAATCAGCTGAATGGGGAACATGGTAACGCTATTTGGACTGGCTGGATAGTTCAGCGGATTAAGCAAAGGCTGTGAGTTCAATTTCCACTATCCCCTAGGAGAAAAATCAGCCTGGGTAGCCTTGGGCAAGCTGCACAGTCCCAGGGCGCTCTCTAGAGTAAGGGATTGGGGAACCACTTTCGAGGATTGCCATAGTCATCATGATCACTATTATCATAGGAGCTGGAGCACACTAATATCTGTAGGGGGACACCCAGGCTCCGCACACTGCCTTTAAAGAGATGGGTGTTGGAGTTGATGATTCCCTGGGCCCAGAAGCATCATGCCTGCCTGGTAGGAGGCCCCACTTTAGCTCCTTCCACACCCCATTTCTTGATGGCAGATTTCCATCCTTTGCATGGATAAGGCAATGTGGTGGCACCTTCTACAGAGCTGGGCAAACTTACTTTTGGGGGACTACAATACCCAAATTCCCCATACACTTCCAGCATGACCACAGAGCTGGCATAGAAACCTCCCTTATTTCTGCAACAATTTCGTAATCAACGACTCAATCATCATCATCATCATCATTATCATCAGATTTCGTAATCAACGACTCAGTCATCATCATCATCATCATCATGTCCACCATTCCCTTCTGGGGCTATGCAGCTTTCCCAAGGCCACACAGGCTGGCTTTTCTTGTAGGAGACCCAAGTGGAGAACTGAACTCCCAACCTTAACCACTGAGCAAACCAGCCTGTACGTCAATCAATGGCTTAACGCTTGCACCTTGGGACAGTATGGCTTGACCAGCATTTATTGCTGAATAGGTGTTTCCATGTCCCTCCCCCCCTTCCCCCCACGCTTTTGCAGTTTTCTCTCTCCGACTTGCTACCTCAGCCCAAGCCGGTCTTCTAAGTGTTAAAGGGAAGGCTTGCGGGAGGGCGGATTCCTAGAGAGGCAGGAAAAAACGGCGAGGAGCCGGAAGTGGAGGTGCGTCCTCTAGAGGCCGCCCACCTCCCCCGGCCTGCCCTATTCGAAGGTTCCTGGGAGAGGTCGGTCGGAGCTTCGGGTCCGGTGGGGGGAAAGAAAGAGGGGTTGCAACGAGGGCGTCCCTATTTCCTCCTTCCCCCCCTCATGGGGCGGCCTGGATAAAGAAGGGGGCTTTTGACCCACCTCTGCGGCCGAGCCTTGCTTTGGTGGAGGGAGGGAAGGGAAGCGCCTTTGTTTTTCCTACCCAGGAGAAGATCAGGTGAGCCCCCACCACCACCACCACCTCCAGTATTCAGCCCTCTCTTCCTGGGAGGGGGGGGATGATCTGTGGTTTACCCACACCCACATCCAAGGGGACCTTATGCCTCTTCCTACCCCCCTCCACCCTTTTGCCCCCGTGGGGGTGTAGGGAAGCCTCCTAGCTCCAGGGGAAGGGGGGTTGATGCATGGCAGGGGAGGGGGAGGCAGGAAAGAAAGAAAGTGGGGGTAGGACCCCACCCAGTGGTGCTCAGCTCTGGGTAAGCCATATACACACAGAGAGACAGACAGACACACACACACACAAACACACACACACACCTCTCTCTCCCATAGTGGATGCATTTTGCAGCTAATGTCCAATGGGCTTCTGGGGGGGGGAGGTCATAATGGGGCCAGAAAAGCGGCTTGGATGGGTGAGGGGTTCCCACAGAGTTCATACACAGAGGCCTTCCCGGCTGTGCCTGCTTTTTACAGTGGTGCCTCGCTAGACGATGATAATCTGTTCCACTGAAATCGCTATTTAGCGAAATCATTGTCTAGCAAAAAGCATTTCCCCATTGGAAGGCATTGAAACCTGTTTAATGCGTTCCAATGGGGAAGAATTGTCGTCTAGCGAAGATCGGCCAGAGGAAAGCTGCTTTGCTAACTGCCGATTAGCTGTTTAAATAGCTGTCTTGCGAAGCTTAGGTCCCAAAAACACCCATTTTGCGAGCATGGAGACAGCTTTCAAAATCATTGTCTAGCGAAAATCGGTTTGCGAAGCAGGGACCAAACATTGTCCAGCGAAATTCCCCCATAGGAATCACTGTTTTTCGAATCGCTATAGCGATCACAAAAAGCCAATGTCTAGCAAAAAAAATTGTCATGTGGGATAACTGTCTAGTGAGGCACCACTGTATTAGGATGATGGCTGGCTGATGGGTTCAGATCCCGCAGAACCCAGTGGAGAAACTCTGGAAGGTGTACCGTCCTTCCCAGGTAAGGATGATGTAGGTCAGGTCCGTGCGGGTACAAAAGAATCGAGGAATGGTAAAGTTTTAATGACCTAGAAAGAAAAACCCAGTCCTGGATGGAGCAATGGACTAGGATCAGGGTTCAAATCCTTGCTCAGCCATGAAAACACTCTGGGGGAATGAGACTGGGGAAACCACTCCATAAATATCTCATTTATAGCATGGTTAAGGCGCTATAAATCAGTTTTGACTTGACTGCACAGAACAACAACAGAAAGAAGAAAAAATGAGAAAACGTTGGCTGTAGCTGTGAAATGGACTTTCCAGAGGATGATATGCAGATTGGCGTATTGCAACCTTTTAAAGGGGATCCTGCCAGTTGCTTCCGCCGGCAATCAATGCAGCTTCCTGTTGGTTGATATCTGAAAAAGACCTCACATGTTATCAAGAGGCCTTCGGGTCATCCCAAAGCGATCCTGGCTAATGGTTCTGGGGCAACCACAGGGAGGGAAGCTAAATGATGGGCGGGATAGAAATGTAATGAAAAATAAATAAATAAATGCAAGGAAGAAAAATGAGCTTTTTCTGACTCGGAACCACAGTGGGTCAAGAAGCACGATGAAGGAGGGCTGATTGAATCTAGCTTCTTTTTGACTCAAAAGTGCTTTTTCCTAATAATAATAGTACAGTGGTGCCTCGCACAGCGAGGTTAATCCGTTCCGGATTAACCCTCGCTGTGTGAAAACATCGCTGTACAGATCAAAAAAAGCCATTGGAACGCATTAAACTTACGTAGTTTAATGCATTCCAATAGCAGCTTTACTCACCGTACAGCGATGTTTCTCCGATGGCCGGCAGCCATTTTCGCGCCCTCCCCTCGCTTAACGAGGGCGCGAAAACGCTGCGCGTGGCCATTTTGGGGCTTCCGGTGGCCATTTTGAAGCCGCCGAATAGCTGATCGGCGAGTTGCAAAGCGAAGGTCGGTAAGCGAACCGCTTATCGACCTTCGCTCTGCGATTTTGAGCCATAGGGGTCGTCGGTGTGCGATCGCATTTGCGATCGCTAGAACGGCCCCGTTGTGCGGATTACGTACAGTGACCTTTTCCAGGACTTTCTAGGTAGAGAGTGCTCAGAAGTGGCTTACCATTCCCTCCTTCTGGGGGTGCTCTGGGACTGTGCACAGCTGGCCCAAGGCCACCCAGGCTGGCTCTTCTCCCAGGAGGCACAAGTGGGGAATCGAACTCCCAACCTTTGGCTCCACAGCCAGAGACATAAACCATTGAACTATCCCGCCAGCGTCCTAAGGAAAAGCAAGTAGAAGCAGCTTGGAATGTAATTGTCTTCCTGCTGTGAGAGAGGCAATAATAGCTGATCTGTACCTCTTTCTATTTGGTTTTCAAGGGTTTGGTGTCCCACCCACCCATTGCAAAGCTTTGGTTTATGACAGAATTTGTTGGGGGGCGGGAAGGAGTTTTGTCAGTGTCTTTAGGGTCTGAAGCTAGAACAAGCCTGGCAGCTCAGAAGCAGGAATAAGCTTAGACAGAATCCAGATCGGGAGCACCCGGGAATTCCGGAGAAGTACTACGCAGGGATCCTTAACGTGAAACACTACGCTCCGATGTAAGGTGGCAGAAAGAATTCAACTTCTGCAAGGTTCAAAGGGCCCCATGAGGTTGGTAGCCAAATTGGTCCTCTCTGCTCTTGGGGGCTGACAGCCGAGTGACACAAAAAGGCTCAGATCCTGGACCCGGTGACCCCAGAGAGCAGTCTGAACACCCAGGATGGAGAGATGGTCAAAAGAATGTGGAGGGGAGATCTATTCCCAAACAGTGGCCCTGGAAGAACGTTTCCTCCTGAATCAGGTCAAAGACCCAAACCAGGAAGAGCAGCGGTTGAGCGTATTTCATCCTGGAAGTCTCAGATGACTCTGGAACTCCTTGCCACTGGAGGCCAGGCTGGCCCCATCTTTGCTGTTCTTCGGCAACCTTTCTCTTCAGACAAGCCTTGCCTCAGTGACCGGCTGCTTGAGTGTGGGTTTTTTTGTTTACTCTTTTTTCGTATGTTGATTATTTGTATATTCACTGTTTTTAGCTTTATTTTGGTTATGTATTATTATAATAATAATATAATTTATTGTCATTATTATGGATCATTAAAAAAATATAAAGTTTGTCGATAAGGTGCCATCACTTTTTTTAATATTTAAGGAGTTGTTTTACCAGTTCTACACCCCCAGTGAGCTTCTGTGGTTGAGAAGGGATTTGAACCCAGGCCTCCTGAGTCCTAGTCTGTCACTCTATTCACTACACCACATTGGGTAACTTATTTTGGCCTCCCACTCTTCGTTCTTTAGCCTCCACTCAACCCCTGTTGCAATTCCTTTTGCCTTTTCCAATGCAGGATCTCTCCAGAGAAGGAAGTTACTGAAAGGAGCCTTCCTTGGGCGCGAGACAGAGCCTGCAGTCCAGGTGGAGCATGCAGGAGGGTGACGGAGGCAACACCTCTCTAGGTAAATGAATCGTGGGACGTTGTTTAGATCTCCCAAAACTAGATTTGAAATTTGTGGGTTGCCTTTATAGCTCCAGAAAATGTTTATTTTTATTAATTTAAGAAAGTATGGCTGGAATTCAATTGAATATTTGTCCCTGATGGAATTCCTAGTCTCATGCTGGTTGCACAACTTGGCACGTGCCTAAGAATTCAATTGGGAACTTGTTAGCTAGTATCTTCCACTTCAAGTTAAACCAGTGCACTTACTTGTTTATTTGTTTGTTTGTTTAATTTATATGCCACCCGCACTACCCAAAAATTTCTGGGTGACTTACAACAATTTACCATATTTTTCCAGGTATAAGATGCCCCCATGTATAAGACGCCCCTCACTTTTGTAATCCAGGATTAAACTAAGTGGGACTTAGTAAGTGTAGGGGAAAAGGAATCAAAGTGTTGCAGGATTACTATGATTCCTGCTTTCTCCTCCACTTGTTTTTCTCTCCCCAGCTTACTTCTATGTATAAGACAATACTCAATTTTTAGTCTAAAGATTTGAGACAAAAGTATAGTCTTATACATGGAAAAATATGGTAAATACAATAAATGTATAAAGATAAAACAATTAAAATACAATAAAAAATACAGTACTCTAAAAATTGCCATCAGGACCCACAGTTGATATTATTTCAATTAAAAATCTTCTGGAACAGGAAGGTTTTTTGACCTGGCGCCAAAACGTCATCAGCGTCAGCACCAGACAAATCCCACTCAGGATGGCGTTCCATAGTTTGGGGGCCGTTGCTGAAAAGGCAGCGTAAATTTTTGGTTCAATTCTGACCTACATAGCTAAGCTAGCACTTTAAAATCAGCTGAGACACAGAAATGAAAGGTGTCAGAAATTCACTCAGAATCCTAAAAGTCATTTTCAGCAGCTTCTACAGAGGACTAAGAGAACGATGCCAATAACTGTTGCAAAGGAACAGAATAACAAAGGAAATCAAGAAGCCTCTTCTGTAAGATCCAAGAAATAAAAAGAAAAGTTTAAACCAAGGCTAGGAATGCTGGAAGATGAAAAGGAGCACATATTAAAGCATGATAAAATAAATATAAAATAGAAACAAATTACTAAAGAAGTATGCAAAAAATCAAGAATGAGATTCCTTCAGGGAAGAAGAATGTATAGTTTCAGAAAGTGAAGTGAAAGCTGCTCTCAAAGCATTTGTAAGAAATAAATCACCAGGAGTAGGTAGGATACAAGTAGGACCATTCCAAGCTATGGAGACTGAATCTTAACAAGAATATGCCAGCAAACATGATGGGGAAACTAAACATTCTGATGCCAACAAGTATAGCCAGCCTTAGATTTCACCTAGGAAGTGGGTTTTGTGGGTCAAAATCTCAGAGTCAGTGCAGGCAGGGCTTGAAAAAAACTCTGGCTGAACACTTATCTTCCTTCATCTTGTGGCTTTCCCACCCACGTCCTTGGGTTTTATATATAGTGGTGCCTTGCATAGCGAGCGCACCATTTAATGACGAATCCGCATAGCAATGTTCCTTTAGCTATTGCAAAAGCGATCGCATTGCGATGTTTACATAGGCAAGAACTCGGATTGCGATGATAGGTAAGCGTTTCGCTTAACAACCTTCGCATTGCGATGTTCTAAAAACAGCTGATTGGCGGTTCCAAAATGGCCGCCGAAAGAAAAAATGGCCGCCCGTTCCGTTTTCGCGCCCTGCCCTCACTTACTGAGGCGGCGACAATGGCAGCCCTATGGAGGATTCCCCTTAGCAGTGGAGGTTATCCCCCATAGGAACGCATTAAATTCCGTTTAATGCGTTCTTATGGGTTTTTTCCCCCGCATAGCGACGTTTCCGGATAGCGACGATTTATCCGGAACTGATTATCGTTGCTATGCGGGGCACCACTGTATGTTATTGGGTGTAAATCACAAGCCAGTTTAGAAGTGGCTTTGATTTAAATGCAGAGTCTGAAAAAAAACAATCTTCACACACACTCTCTCTCTCTTTTCTTTTCCCCATCACAGGAGGTGGACCCAGGATGCTGCCAGGACATCCCAGCTCGTCTGTTTCACACAATGGAAACAAAGCAGCTTCTGGGCAACTGGACCAGGTATGAAAGGGACTGTTAGGGGGAAAAGAAAAGGTTAGCCAAGAAATTATTTTCAGCACAACTACCCTGTTCTGAAGGGATCAGTCATCATCTATCACATGGGTTTTCTGCTAAGAAGGCAAAAAATGCCAGTTGTGAAGGTCCAAATATTCTCTTAAATCCTCCACCTCTTCCACGTAGTATTTTTCTTTAGTTGCGACAAACCTGGGAGCTGAAAATGTATTCTTTCAGGTGACCTTTGAAGAGGTGGCTGTGTCTTTCACGGAGGAAGAATGGGCTCTGCTGGATCCAGACCAAAGGGCCTTGTACAAGGAAGTCATGGAGGAGGTCTACGGGCTGGTAGCCAGTCTCGGTAAGGATCGTTATGTGGTGCCAATTTTTTTTTAAACTTACGGTGACTATAAATGGGTCATCTCCAAAAGGTCCCATCCTCAGTGACCCTTGCAAACTCAAGCCTGTGGCTTCCTTTAGGAAATCAATCCATCTCATGTTTGCTCTTTCTGTTTTCCTGCTGCCTTCAACTTTTCCCAGCGTTATTGTCTTTTCCAGCCACTCTTGCCTCCTCGTGATGTGCTCAAAGTATGATAGCCTCAGATTAATCAGTTTTCTTCTAGGAAGAGTTCAGGTGTGATTTGCTCAAGAATCCATTTATATATCTTTCTGGTGGTCCAGGGTATTTGTAATTTTTTAAAAAATTATTCTTTCATTTATTCATTCATTCTATCATTCGTTCATTCATTTGCATTTCTGCTCAGCTCCTGTGAGTTCACTCTCGTCCAACCTTGTGGGTTTTTTGGCATTCTGCACAAGAATTCTTTCTTTGGCAAACCAGAGCAGACTGTCTGGATGTCTGTGCCTGAATCATTATTTAATTCCGGAGGAGTTAGGGTTTCGTGTTATTTTTTTTTCAGGCTTCAGTGGCCCTCTGCATTTGTAAGGAAGATAGGAGGTGACTTGCTTTCAACCTAAGACAAGTAAAATAATAAAACAGGCACTAGCCATGGATGAACACCCTTGGCCAATGTGTCTGGGTCCGATGGGGCGTTGTAGTCTAGCAGTGACTAGAAAATCGCAATCCACAATGTTGAGGCTTTTGAGTGGTGATGGGTGGGTGAGGGCGAATAGAACAGCCCTGTGCAGAATGATCTCTGAGAAAGCCTAAAGCAAAAGGTTGAAAGGCTGTTTACGGGAACAGAATGGAAAGTGCAGTACAGTGGTGCCCCGCATAGCGAGGTTAATCCGTTCCGGATTAACCTTCGCTATGGGGAAACATCACTATACGGATCAAAAAAACCCAATGGGCCCAAAACTCACCATTCTGCGATGTTTCCACATGTTCCGGCGGCCATTTTGGGTGAGAGGAGGGCACAACATAAAAAACCCCTCACAGAATTCGCCTTGCCAAAGGAGAAAAGCCCCCACCGGTACCCGCAAAATTAAACAGAATGGGGCGGGGGGCCCTACAGGTTCGTGCGCATGCACACATGCAAACACACAGAGAGAGAAAGAGGTTCGGCGACCTTCCTCTGAGGGCCCCACCTTTAAAAAAGGCGCACTCAGCAGCAGCAACTACCACGCTGCAGAGAAGCCGTACAAATGCCTGGAGTGTGGGAAGAGCTTTACCGAGAAGGGAAACCTCACCGTCCATCAGAGGAAGCACACCGGAGAGAAGCCGTACAAATGCCTGGAGTGTGGGAAGAGCTTTACCGAGAAGGGAAACCTCACCGTCCATCAGAGGAAGCACACCGGAGAGAAGCCGTACAAATGCCTGGAGTGTGGGAAGAGCTTTACCGAGAAGGGAAACCTCACCGTCCATCAGAGGAAGCACACCGGAGAGAAGCCGTACAAATGCCTGGAGTGTGGGAAGAGCTTTACCGAGAAGGGAAACCTCACCGTCCATCAGAGGAAGCACACCGGAGAGAAGCCGTACAAATGCCTGGAGTGTGGGAAGAGCTTTACCGAGAAGGGAAACCTCACCGTCCATCAGAGGAAGCACACCGGAGAGAAGCCGTACAAATGCCTGGAGTGTGGGAAGAGCTTTACCGAGAAGGGAAACCTCACCGTCCATCAGAGGAAGCACACCGGAGAGAAGCCGTACAAATGCCTGGAGTGCGGCAAGAGCTTCAGCCAGAGGCAGAACCTCACCAGCCACCAGAGGATCCACACGGGGGAGAAACCTTACAAATGCCCCACGTGCGAGAAAAGCTTCCGTCACCGATCGCACCTCAACAGACATCAGATCATTCACGCAGGAGAGAAGCCGGCGGCGGCGGCAGCAAAACCGTCGTACCTGTTTTATGTCGTTCTCCCGTTCGCTTGCAACTGATCTGGCGGAAATTTCTTGTCGTTTCCGTCTCTTGGACTCCTTGGTGAACTTTTGCACCTGGCAGATTTCGCTTGGCCATGACTGTGTGATGCTATCCTTCGTATTTCTGGTTCATAGGATATGAACATACAGTAGGACCCCCTTATTCACGGGATCAGTCTCCGCTGATTCACTTTCTCCGTGGTCTGAAAATAATACAAATACTAAAATAAAAATCCTCCCCAAGTATTTTTAATAATGAAATTACCAGAACTGGACACTAGAGGGAGCCAGAGACCATGCTATTTCTTGTTCCAGAAACAGATTTTCATGATGTCATTACCAGAACGGGCCACTAGATGGAGCCAGACATGCTGTGTATAGTGTTCACTATTAAAATGGTGTTCCACATTTTTCACCATTGGGGGGTGGTGCTTGGAACCAATCCCCCATGAATGCGGGGTTCCTGCTGTATTCTGTGGTATAACTTCAGTCTCTATTATGTCTCTCTTTTTTTCCCCTGAAATTTGCTGATCTCCATCTTGAATCTGTTTGACGTTAAGAGATTATCCGGGGTCTTGTGAGGCCTTGTGGTTGCAAAGAGACGGTACTGGGAATGGTTAATATATGCTGTCTGTCATTTAATAGGCCAAGAACTAAGAACCTTAAATGGGGTTGCACATCTGGTCTCTGTATACCAGTCTGTATACCTAGCTGTTGCTTTTTTATTTTATTTTTCTGCCTTTATTGTGAACTGACACAGTTTTCTGTTATTTTTGGTAGTGGCACTAAGCGTAATTCCTTCTCTGTTTCCCCCACCCGCCACTTCTGTTTGCTTTGCATGGAATTGTACCATTTTTTTAAAGGTGTAAAAGGGACGAGGGGTGCAATAATATTGTCCGGTTTGTGGGCTACAGTTTGGTCCGAGGGCACACATTTAAGTACACATTAAAGAATCAGCAAAAGGAAGAAGTTGTTTTTTTATTGCTCTCAGTTTCAAAAAGAGCGTGTGTGTGTGTTTCTGGGTGCATCAAAGAAGTTTCACCGAGAAATCTGTGTGTGTGTGTGTCTGTCTGTCTCTGTGTGTGTGTGTTTTGACTGGCATCTGGTCACTTCTGACTTGCCACGTGGCCCTGTCAGTCCGTGATCTCAATCGCAGTGCTGATCCACTTTTGTAAATGCAAAACTGTGGTTTCTTTAATTGAGTCAATCCATCTCGTATACGTTCTTCCTCTTTTCATACTGCCTGCCACTTTTCCTACGGTCGCATTATGGTCTTTTCCACTGACTATTGTCTTCTCTTGATAGGCTCAAAGTACAACAGCCTCAATTTAGTTATTTTAAGTTCAAAGCAAGTGTTCAGACTTGATTTGATCTAGAACACCTCTAATTTTTCTTTCAGGCGGTACATGGTATCCAGAAAATTTCCGCCTGCAGGACACAATTTGAATGATGTTTCATTTTTGTTTGTTTGTTTTGTTACATCAGTATGGAGAAACTTATCAGAAGAGAACTCTCCGTGCTCTTCAGCTATCTTATACAGGGTTTGGTAAAAATATATACTCCCCCGGATTTTACTTAGCTATTGTTCTGGTTCTAATGAAGTGGGGCCTGTTGTCAGGGAGGGCTTCCTACAGTCACATATGCTTTGCTGTTTTGAGTTGCCACCACGGCTCTGATGCTGAACCCATGGCCTTGAGATTTGCAACCCATCACAGTTTGGTATTCGGTCTGGAGGAGCAGCATTTCGACCGAGTGCAAAGAGGATATGAAAAGCTCCGTGTCGTGATCACAGATCTGTTGTTTTTTGAGAAGTGCTTCAGTGATGAGTTTGCAGTGCATATCCGTACAGGCCACAGTGGCGATTAAAAATGATTAAAAATGATAAGGCATATGGGAAATAAAAACCCCAATACAACCCAGCCCAATTCATTAGCACCGGACCAATAGCCCAGTGAAATCCGGGAGGGTTTTTTTTACGCACCCTGTAGAATGGGGAAGCATATCTACCCGGGGTGAAGATACTTTGGCAGGGGTGATTCTGGGATTTGTGGCCCAAGAAAGCCCACACGTTTCAGTAAAAGGTTTAGCTTATCGGATATTTCCTTTATCAGAAGTAAACCTGTGTCTGTAATGGTCATTGTTGAGTAGAATCCAGCAGGGTCCGTTCTTAGTCCCCATGAGAAGCACCCTCCAGGCTTGGCAACACACAAGTCTTAGCACAGAATGGAAGATTTTTTCCCCCCCAGTTCTCATAGATCAGAGCATTTTCATGGAAAGAGACAATTCAAACCTTAACTCTCACCGTGATTTTTCAGTGGCCGATTAATATTGGTTGTGGAATCCTGGCAGACCAAAAATGTCTTTGAGGCTGCCGACAGCCCCATGGATCCCACACCCTCTTCCCTTCGTTTTTTAAGAGCCCGACACCTCCCCGGGCAACCGCTGAACAGCTTTGGCTGTCTGGAGAATTTAAGGGCAGGAGCACAGAGGCTGGGAGACCAAAGTGGAGTTATCATCCGAATTTGGGAAATGACTGGCCTTTGCTGTTCTGACATGCCATCACGTTGCCTCTGATTTATGGCGACTCCATTAATGAGTGATCTCCAGAATATCCTGTCCGCCACAGTCCTGCTCAGCTCTTGAAAACTTAAGCCTGTGGCTTCCTTTAGGAAATCAGTCCATCTCGTATTTGGCCTTCCTCTTTTCCTGTTGCCTTCCACCTTTCCAAGCATTAGTGTCCAGAGAATCCTGAGGTGCCCATGGTAGGACAAACTTGAGTGTTTTTGCCTCCAGAGACACTTGATTTGCTCTTGGACCCACATATTTATCTTTTTGGTAGTCCAGGCACTAATCATCTCCCTTGTGATAGGGACCTTACTGGGACTGGTTATTGTCTTTCTAGCAGCCCTTTTGTGGCTGATTAGGACAGACTGTTGGAGGGGTGTCTCCACTCTCGTTAATGCAGGGATGGGGGAATTCGTTGGTCTCCAAGTGCTATTGGGCTAAGTCTCCCACCATCCCTCAACCTGGGTACAGCTGATGGGCACTGTAGTCCTAAAAACTCCTGGAAGGCCACAAATGGCACCCAAGTCAATTCCCCTAGTTGGAGAAAGGTTGTCAGAAGCACATCAGGGCTCATGACATATGAAATTACAAAGGGCAGCCAGGTATGAATGTGTAGATTCTTACATAAATTGGAGAATTCTGAGGGAGAAAGCATGCTATTTTCATATATTGTATAAATATATGCCATCTTGGTGCTGCTCCTCCAGTGGTTCCCAAACTCCTGCAGCTGATAGAGGTACGCTGCCTCTAGACATGGAGGTTCTTTGTTCTCTTTGTGTATTTATTCATATGTAAATCTTTCATGTATTGGGTGTATCTTTATCCTGTCTTTTCTCCAGTGAGGCCCTGGTTGCTATACAGGAGTTTTCGCCCTCTTGCTGAATCTTCACAACACGCTTCTTGAGGAAAGGTTTTCATCCATGTGTCTGAGGGAAGCGGGTTGTGATCTGTTGGGACTTCATACTACAAAAAATATCTTACTCTTTAAAGTGCTATGATGCTCTTATGTTATTTTTGGTTTTGTGTTTTTTTTTTTTTTGAAAGGGAAGAGAACAGGGCAAACTCCTATTGAGTTTCTACCATATTTGTTTGTTCACTTGCTTGTTTGTTTTATAGGCTACCTTTCTCACGATAAGGGGACTGATAAGGGGAGGTTCAGGGAGAAAAGGCGGGAAGAGAGAGGAAAAAAGAGGGTGGAGTTTGAAGCAGGAACAGGTGAGGTTGAGAGGAAAGAGGAACAGTTACCGCCCGTTTGGGAATGGGTGTGGATTCAGGATCCCTGGACTGGATTAGGGGAGAGATTAAGAGTGCCCAAGTTCTCGCCCTCTTGCTGAATCTTCACAACACACTTCTTGAGGAAAGGTTTTCATCCGTGTGTCTGAGGGAAATGGGTTGTGATCTGTGGAACTTCATACTACAATAAATATCTTAAAGTGCTATGATACTCCTATGTTATTTTTGGCTTGTTTTTCTTATCCGTTTAAGGAAAAGGAAGAGAACAGGGCAAACTCCTATTGAGTTTCTATCGTATTTTTTGTTCGCTTGCTGGCTTGTTTGTTTTATAGGCTACCTTTCCCCCGATAAGGGGACTGCAAGACAGAGGGCGAGAGGGGTACCCCGCTCGCTGGAGAGCCGTCCCTCCTCAACAGCAAAGCTAAGGAAGCAGACCCCAAACCCACACCAGAACCTACAGCGAGACCTCATCAAGAGACAGAGATAGAGGAGCTGACAGAAGACATGCAGAAAGTGATGATGGGGGGAGGAGGTTCAGGGAGAAAAGGCGGGGAGAGGAAAAAGAGGGTGGAGTTTGAAGCAGGAACAGGTGAGGTTGAGAGGATAGAGGAACAGTTACCGCCCCTTTGGGAATGGGTGTGGATGCAGGATCCGTGGACTGGATTAGGGGAGAGATTAAGAGTGCCCAAGGAGGAGGCAGATTATAAAAGAGCGGAGATCTCACCTAGATCCTCTTATTGAGGAGAAGCCGAGGCGAGATTATGGAGGAGGAGATTGAGAGAGGAGAAAGACAAGCTGAGAGAGGAGAGAAAGATTGGAATGGAGAGCAGGGGAGATGAAGAGGAGGAGTAACAGGGAGGATCCTGAGAGGGCCGAGACCCCGATGGACGGATCCTGTGGGATGATGACCTGGACGAGGAGACCGTGCCCCCGCCGGAAGGCCCGATGGGGCAGACCGGGAGAGACTGGGTCCCCACAGATCTACCGGGACCGTGGAACAATAGTGATGGAAACCTGTTCCTGTTTGAAGAATGGAAACCCCTTCCGGATCCGTAGGCAGAAGGAGAAAAGACTCACAATCATGTTCCAGACACTTGTTTATTGTTAAATGCACCAATAAATCCGTGCCCCCGCCGGAAGGCCCGATGGGGCAGACCGGGAGAGACTGGGTCCCCACAGATCTACCGGGACCGTGGAACAATAGTGATGGAA